CTTCATTTCACGTTGATTTACATAAAAAATGAACGTCAGTTACATAAGACCCATCAACTCCTGTCAATTTGAAGAAATTTTTAAAAAGTAGTATGGAAATTTGAAATTTAATAAACAAAATTTAGTAATGTCATCTTTATTCGTTTGTTATATAAAATTTTGACTTGAGTACATTCTTAACGAAGTTTTACAATGTTTTGTTTTAAATGATCCAAAAATCAGATTTCGCTGCCCATGACGTACATTAACGTCATGATAGTTCTTGCCCCCATGCCTATGACGTTTTGTAACGTCATTTGAAGATGTATGCTACAATGAATGTAGATAATCTGACATGCAGTTAATTGTCTTTATAAGCCTGTAGGTATGTGAAAGCGTTCTTAAATTAGTGAATTATGAATAGACCTTTTCATCATGTGATGAGCGCAAGCGCAGCCACCATGTTGAAATAGCGGTAATTCAAAAGTTTCGTACTGTTTTGATCGACAATGGCTGGGAAAGCAATGTTATCTCTACAGAAAAATTAATCATTAGAAAAAATCGTTGATAGTGAATAACTTTTTTATAACTCTGTGGAAGCGCATAGTTGTGAGCAGTTGAAAAGGAGGTTGAAGTGTCTTGGATGTTTGTTACAAAGGAACAAAGTGGACTAATTGAGAGGTTAGGTGTATCAATACTTTTTAACTCTGTAAAAAATTAATGAAAACAAATAATAATTATAACTTTATTCTAATTAATTATGCCAACCAACTATTACTACTTGCAAAAACACTTTAATTAGCATGAAAGTTATCACGAGTATAATTAATAAAATAAATTATTTATTATTTTGAGGATCAACATGACATTTTTAATCATTTAATGTGTATACCGAAGTAGTATTTAATATTAAAAAAATATTGTTTAATACCACATGAGAATTTTCTTCTGTTGGACCACTTTCTCCATGAAAATGCAGTGAAATATAAGTATCTTTAGTAACATCATTAATCCATCGAAAACCGTTGTCACTTCGACCATATTTTTTCACACTTAATGCACATTTCGAATATCTTTTAATATGGATTTTGCCTGATAATTGTTTACGATATTGCAGTTAAGGCTTTGGAAAATTTATAAAATAATATCTATTGCCTTTGAATGATTTATACCGTGTGTCACTTTTACATAACAACACTGTTTCGTTGTTCCTTTCCGTACAGATAACATAATTATAATTGATTGTGAAAATGTATTTTTCAATTAAGACACTAAACTTATTATTACTTTACTTTTTTCTTCCTTTTTTTTAAATGAATATAGACTTAAATTAATATTTATCAATTATAATTTTTTTCACGTAAGCATTTTAACATACTTGTTTACAAAAACAGTACGAAAAAGATGGCTGAAACTGACGCATGCGCACAAAAAAAAATTGTGATGAAAAGGTCTATTTGGTTTTGATATTGTTTGTGAATTTAACACAAGAAGGCTTCAACAGGTTCTAATTAAATGATGTACCTAATTGCTCGAGATTTCAATTTATGGCGTAGACACCCAAACAAGTCTTCAATAAAAGTTATATTGATTTGAAAAACACAATATAAAAATATTTTTGGATATACAGTTACGCTTTTGCTTGGAAAGTAAAAATATATATTTGTTATTAACTGTATTTTAACTCAGTTTTAGAATTCTTAGGTAATACTGTATTGAACCCTAGAATATTTTTAAAAAGTATTACAGGTTTGCCAAGAAATTAATTTTTTGTGATATAAAATGATACAGACCCAAAATAAAATTATCAGAATTTAAGTAGCTTATCAATGAGTTGAACATTATTTAAATTACTGGCTCATTTTATACAAAGGGTATTGAAACATCTCATAAATATGGCTCATTTTAACTTCATTTTAGTTAATTTGAATGCAGCACCCTGTATATCATTTTAGCATTAAATTCATTATAAATTTACCTATTCGCTCCGTGCGCGACAGCAGCGCCAATACGTTTTGATACTAATGGACTATTTCTTCGTATACTGACAAATGCAACTTTTAATAGAATTCGTAATTAAAAAGTATATATGTTAGTTTTAATAAAAGTATATGGATTTGTAAAACAAGTAAAACATTAATATATTATTATTATTATATATTTTTATCGCTTAAATTAAAGAAAATTATGTATAATCGATAAAAATCAATAATAAAATATAGGCAGGCAACAGTATTTACTGGAAAATGTATGAGAAGTTGCCTAAGTCTAACAAGTTTTCATTGAATAATTAGCCTATTCTGTCAAAATAAAAACATACCATTTAATAACAGCGTGAAGTTAAAATGTATAAAAAAGGATCATTACTTATATTTTCATTTTTGTTCGAAAGAAAACATATAATGAATGATTAAAACTGATTTCCCATCAGTAAGTTACAAAATTGCGTTCCAACCACATATAATAATCAAAGGCAGAAATCTTGAAATCTAGTCCTTGCTGAATGAACATTTAAGAATAAGGGGATATTAAAGAACATCGTAAAATGATAATTTATTGTTTATTTAAAACCTTTCAAGTTTCTGATGTCTACTATTTCCAGCATTACGGTTATTATTACAAAAATAAAGGTAATTTTTCTTCTTATTGTATATCTAGCCATTTATTTCTTTGATTTAATTTCCACTTTGCTACTGAAATTTTTTATATAAGTTTCACTGTTTTTTTGCTAGTATTTGTACAGTTTTCAACACAGCAACTCCGGTTGCTTATTGTATTGTTTTTACCTACTTTTTTTGAAAAAAGTAAAATGTATACGTGTATTTGATATGCTAAAATTACAAAATATCGCCCTAAAATGCACGAATTATCCGCAGCTAGCGCTAGTATCGCTTTTACTTCCCTTTCCATGACTTCGCACGGAGAGAATATCTAAAGATGTTAGCCTTTTATACATATACAGTGCGTAATTGATCAATAGCTGTTTTACTATTGAAGATACAAAGACATTTTTAAGTTGTTGTACAACCATATTTAAAAATTATTCAGGAAAGTTCATAAATGAGTGGTGGAAAAACGTATGCCCCCTTGTATAACAAATTTGTTTTCACATCGTCAAACAATTTTAATAGACTTAACGTTTCTAAAAATGTTTTAACTTTTCATTCATTTGCTACGTTGTATATAGGGTGTGTCAAAACGCAAGATTACGATCTGCTTATTTTTCTTTCAAATGGAATACCCTATGTTACAACACAAATTTAACTAATAATTTAGTTTCTTTACTTTTTATTTGATTTGGAATTCTTAAGCCTAGATTGATTTTTAAATTTTATTTACAATGGTTTATATTACTTGTAACGTTGAAGGAATATAAATCCATTCATTAATTCTGACAGATGGGTTACCAAAAATTACATCAGCATTTTACCCTAAATAAGCACATATATTCAAAAGCCAATTAGAAGAATGTCAATTTTTCATGGTAAAACCGTCAAAATCTTGAGAAAAAATTCTTTTGGAAATAGAATGCCAAACAAAATGAAAAAAGTAAAGAAATTAATTAATACATTGTATATTATATTTGAAAAAAATTGAGAATATCGTAACCTTGAGTTTAGACTCTATGCATCACAGCAAATTAATGAAAATGTTAAACATTTTTAGGAACGTTTAGTCTATTAAAATTATAAAACGCTGTGAAAACAACCACATCTATAAGGCGTGACTACCTACAGGGTGTTTAATTTAAAAAAATATCTAATTGGTTTTCCCCTCATTTATAGACTACTTAAGAATAATTATAAAATATGGTCTTACAGCTTTCATATTATACATTTCTTCATACCTTCAATAATAAAATATCGATCAATTACCCACTGATGGGACACATAATTAAAATACTGTATAAAGTGAACCAGTTCTTTCATCACAGCTTGGTCCTTATAAGTTGAAAAATATACTAGTAATAAATACAGTATTACCATGTCACTTTAAAAGTGAAATAAAATACAGGATGGTCCATTTAAAAACATGTTTTTACAGGCAAAAACGTAACACCCTGTATATCCAAACATGTTTTTAAATTATATTTATTTCAAATCCACATTATTTTTATTCAAAACGTGCCTATAACACAAATTGAAATAGCAAGCTATTATGCATTAATGGGGTATAGAATTACAAAGAAGAGTACATCTTTTTTCATCCTTTCAGACTTCCTTTTAAACTACTCTTGGTTATTTTTGACACTCCACATTGAATGGTCCAGCCTTCCCTACAAGATTTTGACATGGTGGCTGCAGCTTCATTGGCTAATTGTACCACCATTTGGATACCCTACTTCTTTCGATTTATTAATTCCTCATTTATTCCATTCCCTGGATAGGCTCCTGAGAACTTACAGTCTAGGGTCACCCATTCATGAAGTGTTTGACTACCTTGAGCGATAAATGAATTTATAGGGACACTGTCACCCAGCAGCCCAGTAATAATCTTCTTTGACATCAGTACTTGACATCCTATAGAAGTCTATATTCTTTTCTCCTTTTGTGTTAACTTTTGTCCGTATTTATAATCACTCTGTATATGTTATAGCTATTCCCCAGAATAATTTTTTAGATTTTCATTGTGTATGGCCCATGACGTTAATGAACGTCCAAACGTCTAAATGTCCGTATACTGATGGGCATAGCGTGTAGTTGGTATTAAAGCTTGCACAGCGAAAGTGAGTGCTAAAAAAATGATATCTAGTAAACTTTTTCCCTATGTAAATGAGACTTTTTAATTCGCTCCTCCTAGTTTAAAATTGAACCATACTAGACTTAATAAATTATCAATATTGTTAATAAAACAGTTCAGTCTTTATTTTCATTTAATACACCATAAGCTAACAACCTAACAGATTTTTTAAAACCATTCACAGTGGACAGGTTAGGGCAATATTTTTCAGAGAGTTGAAACACTTATGTCCTTCACAGTGATCCCAACTAACCAAGGTGATATTTATTTTTGCACGGCAGGACATGAGAAACATTCCAACTCACGAGCGGCCAACAGTAGCAGTACTAGCAGTAAGGACCACGGCAGGAGCGCGGAAAGCGCCACCGGCAGCCGACATTGGAGCAGCGGCAGTAGCAGAGATGACGGCGACGCGTCCTCTAAAGAATCGTCAAGACTGTCCCGGAAACACTCCGAGGAGAACATACAGACGAGCCAAGACATGGATATCTCGCCGGGAGATAGTACTCCCACCTCTGAAGTTTCTTATTCGACCAGTACATCTCTACAGGTGAGCGCAATTTGAAATTATTATTTTGGGGTTGATAGTCATCCTTCCGAATACAAACCAACAGGCAGTTAAAATTAGGTGCAATAATTTAAATTTTAATCTGGTGTCACTTTACGTCCCCCCTAAGACAAAAATTTCCGTATCTCAATGGGAAAGATTTTTAAAATCATATTCCAAACCTACTATAATAGTAGGGGACTTTAATTGTCATCAGCTCACTTTTGGTGGTCCCAATACAGATTCTTATGGCAAAAACCTTTTAGAAGCTTTAGATAATTGTAGCTTATTATATTTAAATGATGGCTCTCCTACATTTATTGGTCATTCTTGCCAATATAAGACTTAACAATTTGTTCTCCAGATATTTCACATCTATTAAATTGGTCAACGCTAAATGATTTATATGGTTCAGATCATCTTCCAACAATTGTTAATATAAATCTAAGCCCTAAAATTACTTACTCATACTCAAATCGCAAGTGGAATCTTAGTAAAGCGGATTGGAATTCGTTTTATTTAGAAGCGTTGAAACAATTCTCAGAAACGGAAATTAATGAATATAGTCAATTTATGGAAAAATTAGAAAATATAATAGAACTAACCATACCTAAATATAGATCAATACATGTTTCCCCAAAAAACAAGCATTGGTGGAATGAAAACTGTAAACGCGTAGTAGATTCAAGAAAGATTAGTTTTCAGAATTATTTAAATAATCCTAATTTAAATAACTTATTAGAGTATAAAAGAAACGATGCGGTGGCGAAAAGGATACTCAAACAAAAAGGGATAGCTGGAAACAATATTGCTCAAGTCTTAACAAATCTACTTCAATGAAAGATATTTGGAAAAAAGTAAATAAATACAAAAATAGGAAAATAAATAATACCGTACAAATAGACCTGGTTAACAGAGTTCCATAATAACTTGACTCCTCCATATGTTCATAGAACTCCATCATTAGAAAATATTGCAAAACAAACAGTGACTGATTATCTAAACCAACCCTTTTCTTATCATGAAATTTGTCTTGCCCTCAAAAATCCAAAAAATACAGCACTGGGTCACAATACAATACACTATGTTATGCTGAATAAATTACCAAAGATTGCAAAATTATCTCTTCTCAACATATTTAATAATATATGGACAAGAAAAATAACAATTCCTAAAGAATGGTACGAATACATTATTACCCCTGTACTAAAACCTGGGAAAAGATCAGATCAAGCTGAATCATATAGACCAATTGCTCTTGCTTCTTGTATATTTAAGACGTATGAAAAAATGATAAAACTCAGACTGGAATATTATTTAGAAAATAACAACTTACTTTCATCTACTCAATTTGGATTTCGCAAAAATATTTCAACTCAGGATAGTATAACAAATATAGTAACAGATATTCAACTATGCTTATAAAAAAATGAATCTACAAGTGCTTTATTTCTAGACATAAAAGGTGCTTATGACAATGTAAATTTAAATATTTTATATGAAAAATTATGTAAGTTAGGAATCCCCATAACTATTTCAAATCATATATATCATTTGTATAACAATAGGAAATTATTTTTAAAAGTAAACGGTGAATTATCTTGTCCACGAGAATCGGGCCTTGGGATCCCTCAAGGAAGTATTTTAAGTCCTTTACTTTATAATATTTACACGTTTGATTTAGAAAATTGTATTCCAAGATCTACAAATATTTTTCAATACGCAGATGATGTAGTGATCTACACAAGCCACAAACAAATTAATTATTGCCATGATCAGCTATTCAAATCTATGGAGAAAATTCATAGTTGGAGTCATGAAAATGGTTTAACAATATCTGAATCGAAGTCGGCTGTAGTTACTTATACGCGCAAAAGGTATAACCATCCAAATTATATAAATTTACATAAATATAACCTGGCTTATAAATCCTCCTTTAAATTTTTAGGCATTATTATAGACAGTAAATTAAACTGGAAGGAACATATAAATTATGTTCAGAAAAGAACCCAAAATGCTGTAAATATAATAAAAACTTTTACTTGTCATAATTGGGGCTCTGGCCCAAATGTTAGTCTAATGTTTTATAGAATGCTGGTTCGCCCAATTATAGATTATGGTTCAATTTTTTATAATACAGCAGCAAACTCACATCTTCAGAAAATTGAACAAATTAAAAATAAATGCCTAAGACTCTGCGTAGGATTCTTACCAAGCACTCCTATAAATGTTATGGAAGTCGAAACATGTGAAAGTCCATTGGATCTAAGAAGGAAATTTCTGAGCGATAAATTTGTATTGTTATCCCGATCAAAACATTACACAGTAATCAATAAATTAAGCAGATTAACTACTCTATGCTTAACTTCATCCTTTTGGAAAAAGAAAAAACTGCCATTATTAGTTGACAGTTTTATTTCTACTTCAGATGTCAGTAATGATCTACCAGTTTCAAATGGCGTACCGCTGTGGACCAATCCATATCTGTCTTTTATTATGCCAGTTAATAGTTATATTAATAATAAATTCGACGTTGACAACCCTTTACTAATAAAGACAAATTTTTATGAAGAATTAAATACAAAATGGAAACATTATGAAACACTTTACACTGATGGTTCTAAATTAAATAATCAAGTAGGTTACGCTTTATATTATCCCAATAAAGAGATTCAAATTTTAAAACGTTTGCCAAATTGTATGTCAGTTTATAGTGCAGAAATATTAGCAATTAGAGAAGCCTTTTCGTTATGTCTAAATCAAGAGGAATTAAATTTTGTCATTTTCACAGACTGTAAAAGTTTAGTTCAAAAGTTTCAAAATTTTAATTTCAATTCTAAAGTTAATTACATAATTCTGGACATTTTAAAACTAAATTTTGAGGCAAGAAATCAGGATAAACGAATATACATATCTTGGGTCAAAGTCCATATGGGAATACCTAATAATGAAAAAGTAGACTTTTTGGCTAAAACTGCAACAAAACTTAATTACATAAGTAATTTTAAAATACCCCTATCCGATCTAAATACTTGTTTCAAATATAAAAGGGATCAAAATTGGCAAGCAAAATATGTAGAGAAGGAAATAGGTAATTTTTATAAATCTATTCAACCTAATATAAGGGTAAAACCGTGGTTTGATAAGCTGTCAAATAGACCACTAATCCAAACGATTAGCAGAATTAGAACTAATCATGCTTTATACCCTCAATATATGAAGCGAATAGGTATAATAGATAATGATTTGTGTATTTGTGATGAGATTGCTGATTTACAACATATATTTTTGGATTGTATTCTAAACGAATTAGAAATTAATTTATTATATCAAAACCTAATTAACAACAAAATTCAGTTACCTATAAATTTAAAAAATCTACTGACATTTGACAGTATATATAACATACTCTTATAATTTCGTCAAAACACTCAAATTAAAATTGTAATTAGGAAATAGAAATAAAACATGTAAGTAGCGATGCTACCAATAAAAAAATTTGTACACCTGACTCGAAAAAATTGTTAAGAAAAAAAAAATAAAGACAAGAGAAAAATAGAAAAAAAAAAACAAAAAAAAACAAAAAAAACAAAAAAAAAACAAAAAAAAAACAAAAAAAAAAAAAACAAAAAAAAACAAAAAAAAACAAAAAAAAAATAAAAGAAAAATAAACAAAACCTTTAAACCTTATTAAGTTCAGGTTATTTTTAGTTATTAAGGTAGAGCAACTTCAATATAATTTGTAAAATAATAAAGTTTGTTATATGATATTTTTATTTGTTCACCTGACAATTGACTGGCCTGTTGGTTTATATCCAGTGCCACTAACTTAGTTAAAAAAAAAAAAAAATAGTTGATGTTTTCGTTGCCTTTTGTTGATTCTGTATTTGAATTTAAACGGGTTTGTATTTTATTCGTTTTTCCAGATATATGCAGATAAATCCGTTGTTTTTAATTTCATTCGCTCCTGGAAATGGTCACTGGAAAACTAAAGGACCGATTTTGTTAAAAATTAGTGAACAGGTTGTGATAATTCATTTAAAATATTTTGACAGTTCTGTAATTTCCGTTTGTGCCGGAAGTAGATGTCATTGTTCTTATTTTAAATGAGACATCCTTATCTGTATCTGTAAAGTTTATAGGGTGGGCTACCCCACAGTATTTAAGCCTCACTAGGCCCATGGTGCATCCTCCTAAATTTTTAGAATATAATTTATTGATCTTATATTAACTCATGACATAAGACAGGTCGAATATGAATAAATTATAATGTCTAGCTAAAACTAGAAGTCTACTAGATGTAACTGCTTAATCTTTAGGTAGGTGGAAGCATTAAAAACGAATAATTTGAAGGAATAGGCACTTTGGCACACAGAAATTATTTTAAAATGCCAATATATAAAGACCAAATTTTGTTGGTACTGAACCACTCAATTATTTTGGTATATTTTCTATTATTTATTTGATATTTATATGAAATATATTTTGTTTGTTTTAGTACCAGAATAAATAAATATATTTTTTCATAGACGACTATCAAAACCTTAATAATTATGAAAAAGCGTTGTTAAGGTTATTTAAAATCCATGATTTGAACTTCTACTTAATAAGTATTTTTGGTAGGCATTAGGATAGTTAAATTCATTTTAGTTTAAATTAATTTGTTTTTCTCGTTAATAATGTTATTCAGTTTTCCATCACTTTTTTTACAAAAGTCAATATGAAAACGCTTACGATGTTTACAACATATTTTAAAACTGAGAAGAATTCGGCACGTCTATGCATATCGGGCGGTTGAAAGCAACTTAGACAATACATTTTTCGTTATAATATTAAATTCATTTTAGTTAAAGTATAAAGCTAATTGTACGAATTGTTATTTGGCAGATAAACGACCAAGCCGGCGGTGCAGTGGGGCCCGTACTGCTAGCGAACGCCCTACCAAAGCTGACATCGCATCCGATCCATGTCCCATCGACGCTCGCCATCTCCAGGTCAGATCACGTGCTGTCGCTGTCGTCGCCCCAAAACACACCCGCCCCGTCGACGATGACGGTCAGCAACGCGTCCTGCCTGCCGATCGCCATGACCATGATGACTATGACGACGATGACGACGTCGTTGCCCAGGATGATGTCTCAATCGTCATCAGATAATAGCTCGTCAGATAAATGTTTACACGTGCTTCAAAGGGCGGGGGTCGGGGATAGTTCGGTGCTCACTACTCTTACTGTAGACACTAATAATCATTCGGGTAGTGTAGTTGAGGGCCCTCCGACGCCCACTCATTCCGAAACGCCGGATTGTGCAAAGGGTAAGTGTTATATTCGTTGTTACCTTCAAATAAACAAATTAAATATAGATAGGTAAACGGTCTGGGCACAGAATAGATTAGCAATACAGAAAAAAGACGGCTACGGCCAAAATTTTGGCTATTGTAGCCACATCTTATTGATGGTGGAGAAATAAATTAGTTTTTGCAGTGTAGTTTCAATAAATTAAGCATTTCAATCAAAATGGTTGGGTGATGAGACTGACATACAAATCCAACGTTTATCAATGAAATATGTATATATTTTTATATAGAATTATCATCCATGTATATAAATCAGAAAACGAAAAGTGGGTTTCACGGGGCGAAATTTTATCTTTATCTAATACATGCAATGTTTATGTTCTCTGTCTCAGTTGTGTGTATATAGTTGTAAACAAATTAGTTACATATCTGCTTTAGAATTTAGAATCAATAAGCATTTGCGAGGCACTATGGCTAGGTGCAATTTATATAACTGTATATCATTGATCCTGTCAAGTTCATTAGGTCAACCATTTTAATAGTTCATTGGAAAACCTAATAGTTTATGTTGGCGTACATCAGTTTTTTCAGAGTACCTCTATAGTGTAGCTAAAGGTCAGAAATTTCTTCTTCAAAGTACCAACCGTTACTTTCTTTTCTGTATTGTTCACCTGTTCTGTGGTCTGGGTTTATTTGAAGCCAAGATCATCTACCCTTCCTTCTATTACTTTCTCTTCTGGTTCCTTGGTTTGATTTGTCAATTTTATATTGCAGCAGCAAATTTAATCAAAACTGTTCATAAGGAGTTTGGTTTGTGATTTTTTTGTAATTATAAATTCCCCGAGCGCATTTTTAAAGTTTCTGGTATGTTTTTTTAACGAATTTTGTTGGTTTATGGGTAAAAATTACTATTAAATGTTTTATTTGCTATAAAACAAGTTCCACGTCGTTTTATAGGTAAGTAAATAAAAGCTATAGGCAGTACTATTGTGTTATTTTTATATTTGTACATTAGGTATCTAATTAGGGAAGGAAAGAATATAATAAAAGGCAAACCATGTGATGTATTTGTTGTAAGATTGAAACAGTTCATATGTTTTTATGCAGGATTCCAACAAACTTTGAAGCAAGGGAAATTTGGATTCAAAACCTAGAAATAGAAGTGGTTGAAGTGGATAAAATTAACAAAAACATTAGAATATATTCAGAACATTTTAGAAATGATGAACTTATGAGCAGAAGCAATTCCTAATTTATTCAATTCTCAACCTGGTTTTTAGAAGACAAGTAAGTTATAATAATATTATGTAATGCCTAATATAAATTATTCTCACATTTTAAACTTTGTGATCAAATAAAAACAGTAATATGTCAAGTCCTTGTCTCGCTGGAAAGAAAACATTTTCTGGACTTGTAGATTTAAAGCCAGAGAGGTTGACCATAAGATTGGTGTGCTTGCAATAGCTAAGCAGTTATTCTCTGGTCACATCCTGGATTTGTAGCAGCTGGATGGTCCACCAACTAAAGGCTAACCATCGATGACATGGAATGAATGTATTATGAATGGGGAGGAGTAGGGCATTCAAATGGTGACACAATAAGCCACACGCGTTTCAGTGCCGCCATGCAAACCCTAAGAGGAGAGAAAGCAAGCTGAACCCAAGCCTGATTGAGGGAATCGGTCTGAAACCCCTTAGGGGGGAGCATAGGCATGTCTGAAAGGGTGAAAAAAAATATGTCCTTGTCCACCATGACCTTTTCAGATCTATTGTGGGACAATGTGTGTACTACTCCAACAAGTTTCTTGTGTCTTCTGGAAATAAGCCCTGAGGATGATGAAGCCAAAAGCGCTCTGCTTAGCTAAATTTAGTAAAACTAATTTATATTAAACATAGAAAATGTTTTTTTATTTCTAAATAATAAAAAGTATTCAGTAAATGAATTTATAAAATATTTTGTAATTCTTTTTAGGGAATATCTGAATATATTTGAATGACTTTTATGAAATTAATGTTAATGGTGATATAATTAGCTTTGCTGATGATAAATCCATATTCTATGAAGCACAAAATTGGGATTTTACTTAAAAATAATGTAATTACAAACTATTTTCAATTTGTTTCAAGATAAACTATTGACTGTAAATTTCAACAAAAATGTTTATGCCATTTTAGTCTTATCCCCACAATCTCCCTACTTTTGATAAAATATTTGTTAACTTTTACATTATAATATTGAAATAACCAGTACCTCTGGTATAAAGTCCCTGGAGTGTTCATCGATCAGCACCTTAAGTGGAATATTCATATCAATTTCATAAATTAACTTGGAATGCTATTATACGGATTCTGATATATATCCCAATTACTTTACAATAGTCTTAATTTTGAATAATGCGTTAGCAGTCTCATATTAGATATGTAATTGCATGGAAGTGAGGCTTTAAATACTCATATACAGGGTGTCAGTTTATTGTAAATGTCAATTATTTTACTTGCAATGAATAATTTTAGCTCTCATGGTTTATCCCCCTAGTAAGGTCAGATGTTCCCCTTAGAGTCTTAAATTAATTGGGAAGGGGATCAAGTGGTCATTTTAAAGGTAATTTTATAGATAATTTATAAAATGTAATATTTGATTTTAGCGCCCTCTAGCGGAATAAAATCTATTAAGTATTGTAATAGTGTGACACTTCATTTGAAAGTTAATTTTATTAGTAATTTAATTCACAATATAACAAAACATAATTTAATAATACATGAACTTAAAAAATTGAAAAATCGTACAGATTTCTAATATTAAGAAATACAAACTTTAATCGCAATCTACTAAAATAAAATAAATAAAATGTCCACAGACAAGACCGAAAAGTGGTAAAGTGTATTGCACATGCATGACATTAAAGGTTTGTTCCAACAGCGAATCTGATCATCAGAAGGACATCAGACACATGCGCATTGAAAATAGTCCGTTCCTACAAAGCCACGGATAATCCGATGAACTGTCAGTAAAACGTTCCAACGTATTTTCTGATTCATACATGAATGAGTCGGTGGATTGTCGAAACGATCAGAGCTTTATCACTTGTACAATTTATCAGCACATGCGCATTTAGAACGTCAATTCTCATTCATGCTATTTGTTTGTAATCAGTTGAAAACCATCTATAAACATTATTAGTCAGTAAACTGACTTTTCTTCATAATTTGAGATTATTTTTAAATATATATCACGTTATGTAGAAATTTTTTTGTGTAAAAAATTTTATATGAAACTTTACCTACCATTTTTTAGTTTTTATTGTAAGTTTAATCATTTTCACAACCCCCTATTTTTAATCAGATTTGTTAAAAATCAATAGGCTTTGTCCCCTTATAAAGCTTGATTTTTGCATAAAATTTTCAAGTTGATATCATTTCTCGTTTTTGACTTATCGTGCAGACAAAAAACGTGACATCGGACAGACAGACAAAGTAAACCTATAATACTCTTCACAGAATACTGTATGAAGAGTAGAAAAAAAAATGTATGAGGTAAAATAAACAATTTAAAAAGGTCAACAATAATATTCAACTTCTTTTATCAAAAGATACTAAAAGTTTGAAATAGCAGCACATAATTGAACACAGAATACAGAAATCTGTGAACTATACTAGTGAGATACATATCGTAAAATGTTATCACATTTAATTCTCCATATGACCCTTTCTAAGTGTATTTCACAGCACATTCCAAAGTATTCTTGCTCTCGCTCTGTCCTACCCTCATTTTGCATGTCCATATTCACTAAAAAATAGTTTTAATAAATAACAGAATAATATATTTTGTCTAAATAGGTAAATCTGCATTTTCAAATTATTATTTAATTGTAGATAGTATATTAATGGTTTGATATGTACTTATATGATTGAGCATGTAGATATGTGGGATGTGACTTGTTAAGTGCCTAATCAAAATCACAATTTATATTTGATACTTATTTCGAGACTTTTTTCGAGACATTCTTTATTACCAACTGTAAACTACTTTACCAATAGCCTTATTTTTATTTAATACCTGTAGTGATTCAAATTACCATAACATCTAATATTTTTGAAAATACTAAATTATACAAGCAAGGCAATACAAAAATGTCATTAAAATAAGAGATTTCTGGTTTTTATGCAACAAACGATCTTGGTTGGATGGTAACACGATTGATAATTACAGGCAAACGTAACTTTATGTAGGTAAACTATTTAAATGTACATACCATTTCTTAGGTAAAATTTCTCGAGTATATTAAATTAACTGGTTGATCCATTTTTCCGATTCAGACTTTTAAAGTGAAAAACCATTTGTCTCTTTATCTTTATCAAATTTTTATTGTACATTACCATTTCCATAATGATGTCAAGTAGTTACCTCATCAGATTAATTAAATTTTTCCTTTTAGCGGGTTCTGTGAAAAAAAAAAAATACAAATTTTTTGCTTACTTACTTCATAGTATTTACAATTGAGTACAAAATAGACCATTTTGAAGTAGTCTTAGGATGGTCTTAGACACTGAAACAAAATATAGAACAAATTACAGTCGTAAAACTTTATTATAGGTAAACAGCATAACCTTAAAAAGTTTTTATTTACCTTGCCTTAAAGACATTTTTCGGGAACAATCGTAAAATTGACATACATCCTTCCAATTTATTAAAGTTGCAGTTCTCAATTAAACACATTTTTTTAAATGATCACAAATAATAAAATAATCTTAATTTTATTAAAACCGTTTCATAATGACGGAAAACGAAATGACAGTTTGTTTTATTTGGTACAGTGTTTCCAGAATGTTTTTGTTATTTATTTACGGGCAAGCCCATTTGAGAAATAAATTACAATTTTAAAATTATAATTAAAATGTAGTGAAATATATATGGTGGTGAAATAATATCGTGGTATAATTCATAAAATAGGTAAAGAATTTAAAAGATTTAAAAGACAAAAGACAATAAGGTTGAATAAAATATTTACATTAAATTAAAAATTAAAGATCAAAATTTTAAAGCTCAGTACTAAGTAATTGCTTTATAAATTTATGAACCAGATTTGTCTAAAAAATGTACCAGATTCCTTAAATGTATCAGATTTTTCGAATTCTATTTGCAGTGACATCTAATTCATTGAAGGGGAAAAGAAGGGGGCTTTATTGATAACGAACCCAAACAAGAAACACAATATATATATTTTACACCTGAACACTGATGCATGCAGAATGTACTACATCTAGTACAATTGTGAATTGTACTAGACTGGCAACACTGGTTTGGTAACCTTGTTTGTGAGCGGCGTGCCAATTAATGTGTTCTTTGACAGTTTGAAGAATCTGTTGGCATGTTTTCTTCTCTTTTTAGCTATATGCATTCATAATATCGTCTCACTCGTGTTAGGCTCACTGATCATAATGCGTCACAGACACAGTATACTTAGGTATACTGTGCCACAGAGATGCGATCAGCCAGAGGACAATGATGTACCAAAAATTATAGATTAACACATATGAAAATAAAAATATTAAAATTAAATTTATATTTTTATGTTATTTATGTAATTTTAAAATAATGTGTTTTTATGAAATTTAACTGGGTGTTCACTGCACAAATGGAGAAACGCCCCTGTTTGTAATTGTTGGGATTTTAAGTTAGCTTTGAGTGGCTTGGGTTTCTATTTTTTTTCAATTGAAATAAATCATTTTTGTTTTTATCTTGTGTACGGTTTTTTTTTATGTAAAATAGTACTTATTTTTAATAAAAATAAACATCTTAAGGGTTCAAAATTATACATTCACATAGAGCAGTCCTGCACAACTCAGATTTTTAAAGGGCCAGATTTGGAAAACATTAACTGGACGAGGGCCGCCAAGAGAAGCCTGAGCTTACAATAGTCAGTTCAGATTTCTAAAAAAAAAGGTCGTCATCTTATAATTATAGCCCATCCTGAATCTAAATGCAAGTTTGTTACTGAAAATGAAAAAAATGTATAATTTGACGCAACGGGCCAAACTGGTATACAGCCGGCGGGCCGTCAAAACGACACTGAGGGGCCGCATCCGGCCCGCGGGCCGTATGTTGTGCACCCCTGACATAGAGCGTTCGAGACAGCTAAATAAATGTATTTTGTTGTGTTTTAAAAAAATGTTTAAAATGCCATTTCACCAAACATGTGTTTGGTTTGTCCAATTCCATTGAATTTTGCGTTCCAACAAGTACAAGTCGCCGATTAAACAACGGACGAATAAACGGACTGACATGCGCAGTGATTAGTTTACGAATGCATCCATGCACGAGTCAGAGACATCAGAATGGAGCTGTTGGAACAAACCATAAATTAAATAATTTGGCTGAATTTCTTGTAAACAAAGGCAAAATATAGTTTAAAAAGACGACACGTCTACTGACTTTATATGCTTTAACAGGGTTTTCGAATTTTCGTTTCATATCTTATTAAAATTAAAAATGGTCAAAAATTCAGTTTCGAAGTATTTTACAATAATTTGTCTAAAAAAACGAAAATACAAATACAAAAATTGTTCCCAAAGTGTTTTTGAAAAAGCATCCAGAATGGTGAATCATTGGTTGGCTACCTTTCACTACTTTTTCAGAAATGTTCCGTCAGACTAGTCCAAAAATTACTTTTCGTGGAAAGACCCATAAATAGTACACGAAGTACCGATTGCTTGTACACCGTCGGTTTACGCCTCAAGATAAAAAAAAAACACATTCAAAAAATTAATAATATTAATAAACAAGTCTATACTGTAATTGTTAATGTAACCAAAATTACATCACTAATTTACTGTATATCAGGGGTGCTGTGAAAAAAGTATTTTAAGGAAAAATGTCATGAGATTTTAATTATTGTTTTTGTTGATTGTTGGGAGTTGTTGGATTTTATTAGACATATATAAATTGTTAAGTTGGAATTTGGAGAAAGATCATAAAGAAAAATATACAAAAGATAAGAGGAAAATTTAATAAAAAAAGAATCCGACAGAAGAGGCGCAAACACTGAATGAGAGAAGCCCTGGCAGGAGTACCGACAGAAACGGAGAGACTAAGTTCGAGTGAGAGGAATCCTGATCGTAGTAACACCAGAAAGTGGGCACCAGAGAGAGAGAGAGAGAGCAGAATTAATTGAAAATTAGATGTTTTTGTATTTTATAATATCTTCCTAGTAAAAAGTATCAAACATTTTAAGAAATTGAACCCACCCTGTATTGAGGTTGACTTATGGTTGGAAATTTCTTTGCTTGGTAATATAGCTTCGTTCGAACTAATTCTTACTTTAAGCACATGCCTGATTTATTATCAATTCTGAATTTTTACCGCGAACGCAACTTTTATTATATCTCGATATTCCTGGAATAACATAAGCGGTTCAATAAGTTTACTGCGAGCAGAGGATATAACTAATAATTCAGTTTTTTTTTTGTTCCTTTTTACTACTGCACAATTGAAATGGTTACTAGTAGTTATAATTCGATTCAGGATTCTTTCCGCGAACGAAATGATTCAGATACTGTTTGTACAGATTAATTGCAAATGTAACAATATAATTGTCATGTATACCTACCTGTAAATAATATTGTTACTTTAGAATAAAAAATAGCTTTATTTATTTTTTGCAAAATAAAATTTCATGTTTAAATTGCAGTTTTCTTTACATCCGTCCTTTACATTACAAAATATTTAAAACTACTTGATATGCCATTGGAGAACCAAACGATTTTAAATATTGGCTTCAAACAAAACTTATGTTAAACGATGACCGTTACCTATCTATTTGTGTATCGTGAGTTGCTATCATTTTTTCAGTAGCCTTACTGTTGTTTTATTTAGCTGCAGTAGTACCTGTTAGTAGTCCCCCTGGCAGTTTACAAACCCTGCAAGGAGTGTCTAGTTCGTTACAAGCGTTAAGACCGCAGGGACCCACGATTACACCATCGTTAGCTAATCATTATAGGGATGACCTGGTGAATCATGTCCGGGGATGGCCGGCCGAATTGTTAGAAAAACAGGTAAATGATCTACAAAATTAGGTACTTTCTGTTAATTTTAAACTTATCTATAACTCAGTCCCAACAGTTTTGCAAACTCAAATCATGTTGTCATGTTAAGGTGTTTTTTGCTTCTAAGAAAATATTTATTGCCACTCCGCCGATTTCAAGATTACTCGGGCGCCACTTTATTTAATGCTGTATATTGCATTAAAAAAAGGACAATCGTCGATCTAAAGCACATATATTGTAACATATTGGGCACAAACATTGTAGCTCCAATATGGCTTCAACACCCACCAAACTACAATAAATTCAAATTAAAACTGAGAATTAAGGCATTTAATTACATTTTTTTGAATATACAATAAGTGTGCTTTAGACCGACGAAGTAGCCTCAGATGTAGATTCGATAATTCCAGGGGTCAAGCTGATATCAGTGAGGTTAACAATAACGCATTTAATTTTTACTGTTACGGTGGAGAATTTACGGAAGCTAAAAAGAGTAAATATAGGGCTAATACACGGTTAAATAACTCATTCATAAATCTGTATTTAAGCCTGCCAACATTAAACAACGGCAAGGGGTAGTCAAGATGTGTGTAGATGTACAGAGTGTGTGAAAATGGCTGGTACTGTCAGGATGTAGACATGGGCGTATCAGTTAAATAGGAAATTGAGAAAATTAAATAAATTCACTTTTAAAATATTTTCTTCGAAGTACTAATCAATAAACAAGCTAAAATAATATTGCATGCTAAATTGCCGTTATTACACCCAGGTAAAAATAGTTGTCATAGTATTCTTAAATGGCGTAGATTATATTAAACTTGATGGACAGGAATAAGTAAACAACTTATAACGAAAAAAAAAAAAAAGTAATAAATTAGTACAATTTCAATAAATAAATTAAGGACATTTTAATTGGCACATTAGGGATGTGTGTACAATCATTTTATAATTTTATGAATCTCGAAAGGTGTTGTAATGATTAATTTTGATTGAAGTGAAGAAGCATTGTAAAAGTACGTGTTATATTTACAAAAAATAATAACTTGATAAGTATGCAAAAGTAATGATATATAAATAAATAAACAATTATCAAATTTCTGGTTTTGGACTTACATCAATCATTAAATTTTATATTTTTTCTTTGCCAGTCATTGACCATAAAGGAGTTTTTTCGACAGGTCGCTGGATTGCCTAATTGTTCCCCTTTCCGTTTTCGATCGCGAATCTCCACACATTTATTGACAAGTGACATCAGTTTGCAAACTTTAAGGGACTAAGGTATATTATTAATATATTTATTTGCGTTTCTGTAGGCGCAAAAATTGGCTGAAGAGGCGCATGTGATGGGCAGTATACAATGTTCTAAGGTTTCGGCCGAACTCAAGTCTGCGAGGTCAATAGTTCGACTTACTGAAATTCAAGCAACTTTACAAGAACAGAGGTAAATAATTCCACATCTAATTAATGAATTATGATATTTTTATTTTACATGTTATACTTTTTAATAGGGCGACAATTTATATCTAATGTATACAGGATTTTATTGAAATACAAGTACATATTAAAAGTGGCAAGAGTGTATGATATTCATAAACGAATTTTCACTATCACTATTCTTTGCTTAATCGATGTGTAACCTTAAATCTAAAAGCGCCAGTGAGCATGATTCAAAATAATTTTTGCGGCCTGTCATTTGTCATCTATAAATAGGCCATTTATTTATTTACATTTTGTTAGCCTTGTGGCGGGCTTGTGTATTTTTTGATTTTTAATTGCTTTTAGGTAGGCATTATAATTGTTTTTGGGTTTTGTTTAGTGTTTTAAATTAAGTTTAGTTTTTGTGACTAATTATTTATTATGTCTTTAAGAAAATACATATATCTTATGATTTCAACAATATTAAATTTAAGGCCGCAGTTTCACTGTATTTTAGCTATAAGAAGCAAGGGTTCGTCTATAAAAAAAAGTTTGGAAATGTTTCATGTTTAGTGGGTGCCTGTAGGAATCTCTTTAGGTGTTGAAGGTACCGAAACTTCATTATTTCACGATACCATCTTTCACAGTACTAAGTAGGGATGTTAAGCATGGGATATAAAAGTTTTTTTTTTTTTTTTTTTTTTTTTTCGAAGAAATCGACATCGAGGAAGAGTAACTTTTTTGAGAAAAAACTACATAGTTTCTTATTTTAATGCCAGAAATGTCAAAAGTGCAGATAAAAAGTAGGGAATATCAGTTACCCTCCTCGCTGAGATTATAATCGCAATAGGAAAATTGTTTCTGCTGATTTTAATTGGCCGTAAAACACTTCGTATTCGTACTGAGACGAAGTCACTAAATTTTATTTTTGATTAATTGTAAAAATTTATGTTTTAATTAATTTCCACCTAGGAACGTTTCGAAGAGCCCCATATTTTGATTTCCTAGGAATGACCGGTTTTGAACATTTGCGAGAACCCTCGTAGTTTAAAATATTTTCATATGTACCGAAATTCAAACTCTGGTTTGAACATTCAATTTCTTGTAGATTATCTAGTTTGATTCGGCCGGGCTCGAAAGGGCGTTTTTTTATTTTTCTATTTGTAAATAGTGAACTGGAGGTGGTTTCCCCACTCCGAAATTGTGCGGACATCGAGCTTGTCTGCTGAGAAGGCATAAATACGAAGGAAGAAACAAATTTCTCTCTCTTGACTCATGACTACCGTAGACTCTTTAGTTCTTGCACTTCAAAGCTCTTCGTCGATTTAGTATCACGTAGTTAGTGAACCGTTAAGTTATTTTTCCCGTTTATAAATCAAGGGTACCATAGGGTACGAGGTCCAAGGGCGAATAGTGTCTTTTATTGTAATTTACTGGCTACCTCGTTAGCGGTGACCGCCTGGAAGTATTTTTAACTCCAATGAGTTTATCTTGATTACACTCTGATGTACTATAGGGTCGCAGAGCAAACTGTTAACAAAACTGGCGCCTGAGCAGCTCTTATTCTGCATTTACCACCTCGGCGCCATACAGACTTCCTACTTCACTGTGGGTGAAGCCAGAAGCCTGCTACAGTAATAAGTTTTATCTTTTAAAATAGCTAAATTCTGGGGATTAAAGCAGAACCATTTTTATTTAACCTTCTTGGCCTCTAGCGGCCAAAACAAAGCAATTTGGTATATAGGTAAGGTTTGTTACAGATACGCAAGTTCCAAACACCCTCTTTATATAGAGAATGATCGCATATTGGTAAATACAAATTCGGTTATGAGAAAAAGTCTTACCACTACTTGGGCTGAAAATCCGCTACATTAACGGAATTTGGCTACCTTAACGGAATTCCGCTACCTTAAGGGAATTCCGCTACCTTAAGGGAATTCCGCTACGATTGGCAACACTGAAACATGTCCACTTGCAAACAAAATATTGTCTATAGAGAGTGTTTCGCTTAGCTTGAATCGGGAATTGAAATATCTTTGGGGGTTTTGTTCATAAAGCGATGTTGCGGCTTGGTAGCAAAATTTATGAGAAATACTTTTTATATGAAAGTACTCACCTACTTGGCATAAATTCAATCTGCAGTAAAACAACGAAATTTAGCAACAACTCGAACATTAGTACTTCTTGGTTGGGCGATTATGACGAATTCGGAGTCAGTGACCTGCACTTGTACGTGACCTATACAAACTTCAGTGCGGTACTGTTGATTTCATATATCTTATCAAAATTTAATTTCTGCTTTAATTATAGGTATTTTTAAAGATCAGTTTTAATAGGTAAATGTATTTCAATAACACTCTGTATATTGTGAATCAGTCTTACGAGGTTTTCATTACCCTTTTGTCGTTTATTTTTTTCTTTAATATATTGATTTAACCTCAACTTCATTACAGTACCAATCTTCAGTAGCATATTATGTATCGTTTCCTGTTTCCCTAATCCTTAAGTCCTTTATCATTTCGTTCCCCTAGCTCTAATTCTCGACTGAATATTCATGATTTTATCAATATTTCAACATCAATGCTATTATTTTTTTCTTAAAAAAATAGGATTCGAAAGGCTATAGTTAGAAACATCGTTCGGAGGTTTAAATAGCTTATTTTTTCCAGGTTAGAGGCGAAATACTTCGTAAGCATTTTGATCGAAATAAAATGGATAAGGTTTTGTATAAGAAACAACGTGAAATGTAGCAGTTGCGAAGTATTGCGTGAGGCGTTAGAGTATTTCGAAAAATGTAGCAAATATTTAGATAGGTACTGTGTGTGTAAAAAAAAAATTCAATTTGACGATAATACGCTAATTTCGTATGATGTTTTGCCAGCATTAATCTTTTTAATTTGATCGAAATTTTTACGAAACAATGTTTTTGTGAAAATTCCAAACTCAAAAGTGACCAAGACGTTAAATACAGAAAAATAAGAAATTCTTGAAGCCATTTGTCTCAAATATCATGTTGCGATATTAACCCAAGGATCAGTTGTTTTCCGGTCGCTCATATTTTATGATACATTGGTTCAAGGATTTCTTGATTTTCTTTAAAGTGTTTATGTTCTTTTTGATGCTGTCATGAATTATATGACATTGTACAATGTACGAATTCGATTTTTATGTTGAAATGCTTTTAGATTATCTGTAATGCCAAAATGAATAAGGCTACTTATTTCCTGTTTAGTTACAATGTCAAGAGACACATACATGTTCATAAAAACACGTTACAGTGTGTGTTCATATTGTAAATGTAAATCAAATACATTTAAAAATAAATTGCAGACTGTATTTTTTATTATGACTGGTGTGGAATCAAAAGAGTTTTGGAATTCTCAATTTAATTTAGATAACAGGAAAAAGTGATATGTGTGCAAGTGGTTTAACACTTTCGCTGCCCAAGCTTTAATGTCAACTACACGCTCTGGCCCATCGGTATTCGAACATTTAGAAGTTTTTAACGTCATGGGCCATGCACAATGAAAATCTAAAAATTTATTCTGGGGAATAGCTATTATATATACAGGATGGTTATAAATACGGCAGAAGTTAACACAAAAACAGAAAAGAATATAGACCTCTATTGGATGTCAAGTACTGATATCAATGAAGTATATTACAGGGCCGCTGGCTGACGGTGTACCTATAAATTCATTTATGGATCAAAGTGGTCAGGCACTTAATTAATGGGTGATCCGAGACTATAAGTTCTCGGGAGCCTATCTAGGGAGTGGAATAAATGAGGAATTAATAAATCAAAAGAAGTAGGGTACCTATCCAAATGGTGGTACAATTAGCCAATGAAGCTCCAGCCATCTTGTCAAAATCTTGTAGGGAAGACTGGATCATTCAAGGCGGGGAGTCAAAAGCAATTAAGAGTAGTTTAAAAGGAAGTCTAAAAGAAAAAAAAAAAGACGTAAACTCTTCGTCGTAGTTCTATACAGGCTGTCCCATTAGTGTAGTGCATAATTGCTTGATATTTCAATTTGTTTTAAATAAAAGTTGTGTTGATTTGAAAAAAATATAATTTAAAAACATATTTGGATATACAGAGTGTTCCACTTTTGCTTGGAAAGTAAAAATATGTTTTTATATGGAACACCCTGTATTTTATTTCAGTTTTAAAGTGGCATGGTAATACTGTATTTATCACTAGAATATTTTTCAACTTATAAGGACCAAGCTGTGATAAAAGAACTGGTTTATTTTATACAGTGTTTTAGTTATACATATACAGGGTGTCCCATCAGTGGGTAATTGATCGATAGATATTTTATTATTGGAGACATGAAGAAATGTTTTAATATAAAAGTTGTAAGACCGTATTTTACAATTATTCCTAAATATACATGGTGGTCTATAAATGAGGGGAAAATAAAACAAATAGTTTAAAAAAAACACCCTGTAGGTAGTTACGCCTTACAGATTTGGTTGTTTTCACATCGTTTTATAATTTTAATAGACTTGACCAGTGGTTCTCAAACTTTTTTGGTGACTGAACCTTTTTGAAAAGCGAAAAATTTGACGGAGCCCTAAACACATTTCTAAAAAAAAGTCCTCCAAGCAAAAGCCTCCTTGCTCTAGCCTCTTACCAGGTCCCTCCTGTTTCTTCGCGGAGCCCCTACAAAAAATCCTCAAAATCATATCATCCTTCCTCTGGCCTAAAACAAAAAAGGTCCAACAACAAAAATACCAAAATCATATACTTCTTCCACTTACTGACTTCTAAAAAAAAGTCCTCATGCCAAAATACCAAAATCATATACTCTTTCCTCTTACTGACTGCTTTTTTTGTTATGACTATTATTTTCTTCGCGGAGCCTCCACTAAGGCTTTGCGGAGCCCCAGGGCTGCGCGGATCACACTTTGAGTAACACTGAACTAAACGTTCCTAAAAATATTTAATATTTTCATTTATTTGCTGTGATGCATACATGGTGTGTCTAAACTACCACCAATTTATAAATTAATTTCTTTACTTTTTTCATTTTGTTTGGGTTTCTATTCTCAAACGAATTTTTTCTCAAGATTTTGACGGTTTTACCATGAAAATTTAATTATTTAGAGTAAAATGCTAATGTAATTTTTGGTAACCCATTTGTCAGAATTAATGAATGGCTTTTTTATTCCTTCGAAGTTACAAGTAATATGAACCATTGTAAAAAAAAAAAAATAAAAATCAGTTTAGGCTTAAGAATGCCAAACAAAATAAAAAGTAATGGAACTAAATTATTAGTTAATTAAATTTGTGGTTTAAACTACTTATGTAAATAAAATAGAAATATAATAAAATCGTAATCTTGCGTATTAACACACCTTGTATACAAAGCAGCAAATGAATTGAAAGTCCAAACATTTTTAGAAACGTTAAGTCTATTAAAATTGTTTGACAATGTGAAAACATAAATTTGTTATACAAGGGGGTTTTATTTTAAAACACTATAAGTTTTTCCACCACACATTTATGAACTTTCCTATATTACTTAAGAATAATTTTAAAATATGGTCGTACAACTTAAAAATGTCTTCGTATCTTTAATAATAAAACAGCTATCGATCAATTACGCACTGATGTGTATGTATGTATAATAGGCTAACATGATGGTATCGTTAGATAGGTACATTTATAATGAATTTAATACTAAAATAATATACAGGGTTTTGCATTCAAATTGAGTAAAATAAAGTTAAAATGAGCCCTCTGTATAAAATAAACTAGTTCTATCATGTCTATTCTTTAGTTTGGTATCTTATAAGCCTGTATTTAAAATAATGTTCAACTCATTGATAAGCTACTTAAATTCTGATAATTTTATTTGGGGTCGTTATCATTTTATATCACAAAAAATTAATTGCTTGGCAACCTTGCAATACTTTTTAAAAATATTCTAGGGTTCAATGTAGTACCTAAGAATTCTAAAACTGAGATAAAATGCAGTGTTCCATTTAACACAAACATATACTTTTATTTTCCAAGCAAAAGCGTAACACACTCTATATCCAAAAATATTTTTATATTATGTGTTTTTCAAATCCATATAACTTTTATTAAAGACTTATTTGCAAGTCTATGCCACAAATTAAAATATCGAGCAATTAGGTACATCATTTAATTAGAACCTCTTAAATCCTTGCTATGTTAAATTCACAAACATAATATCAAAATAAAATTCATAATGTACTAATTTAAGAACGCTTTCACATGCCTATGGGATTATAAAGAGAATGGCGGCTTGTCTACATTTATAGTAGCATACATCTTCAAATGACGTTACAAAACGTCATGGGCATAGGGGAAAGAACTACCATGACGTTAATGAACATCATGGGCAGGGAAAGTGTTAAAGGTATGTAACTAAATTATTTTTGTTTATATGAGTACAATCTTAAATTAATAGAAATAAAATGTCAATGAATATCTATAACTTCTATTTTTAAATTACTGTCATTCTCATTGTCAGTGTGACAAAATTTACGTCATCATAAATGTCTGTAACATTCTACCTCTTTCGCAATATTTCAAGGAATGGAAAAACTGTCTCGACCACAAAGTAATTTTATTGAAAAAAATGGGGAAATGAAACGACTAGTTTCGGTCATTGACCATCATCAGACCTTTAAGAAAGTTTGTTAATGTAGCGTAATTGTGAAAATATAGTTTTGATTATAAGTTAAAAAGTAGAAGTGACAACCTATGGGTTAATAATATATGACAATTAAAAATGTTATGACCATCAAAATACTAATTTAGCACTCTCCCTAAATTTACCATTTATTTTAAAATCAAGTTTACAGACTTATTATTTTTTGTCTGAAATGTGACAGTTCATAATTTTGCCGTTGGCGTAAATCCACTAGCGAATCTAGCTGAGTTTTACTCGTAATCCTTATCAATTTTAGGCACTTTTTGTTTTTAAATGATAGTTGGTTTTCCTTATAAAGGTGCGTAAAGGGCCCGGGCCAATAACGGGCACAAGTTCGCCAGAGTTGTACGGTGTCGTATGTCTACTGCGCGATGAAAAGCAAACTCGCCTACTTTGATCCTATTTGGCCCAGCCCGTGGGCTTGCCATCACGTGGTAGATATGACACTACAAATCTGACGAAGCTGGGCCCGGCCTGTTATATCTACGCACCTTAAGGTATGTTGCAACAGCGATCAGAAACCAGTCACTGAAACCAGGATTCTGCGCAGTAGATTATTGAAACCGCTAAATTATCTACTGCGCATAATCCTGGTACCAGTGACTGGTTTCTGATTGTTGTTTGAACAGATCTATAGTATACCATAGTTTGAACCCTTTAGGTGCAATAGTTTCGATAGATTGTTAAAGGAAGGTAGTTCAAATGCATCCTGTAGAAAATATCATTTTGAGCTATTGGGAATGCAATTTCTACCAATTTTAACTGAAAACTTTAAAAAGTTAGAGGCAGCCATTTTAAAATTTCCTAATGCTGATAAGACAGTGGTGCCATAGAAGTCAAATATATTTCTTTTATAATATGCCCTTGGTGATTTTTTCAAGGGCGATTTAAACATCTTAATTGGTTCTTTCATTTAAGTGAATGTTGTTCAAATTAACCGTCTTAAAAATATCATTATTACTTAAGATGCGGTTTCTGCTTACTTAGCAGTTATTAAAATGAAGAGGCACAGGGATTCTTATGTACGAACTCGACACGTTACGTGTCGAGTAGAGAGAGATATTACATAAGAGTTGCAGTCTGTTCCAACAAACATAGGCATCTCGATACAACATGTATCAAAAGATAAGAATCTCACTGCTGATTTAGTTTCTAATCCACGCTGTTATCTAAATTAAGTAAGTATTTCCAAAATTTCAAAACTCGTTTTAACCTTGCAAGCCGTTATTGGGATATTTAAAGGTTTCCATACTTTTAAAAAACTGCCGTTAAAATGATAGAGCTTCCCATATTTTCCTGTTTTTACCTGCCAATTCAGAATCTGCACATGTTTGATTTTATTTGCGTTTAGTAGAGCATTTCTGAGCTGCTGCTTTAACTACCCACAATATTTTAATAGAGTCATTATAGTAATAAAATTACGTCGCGAATTTTGGTTATGGATGATGACATTTTTTAATAGTGTGTGTTTATTTTCAGAATATTATTTTTACGCCAGCAAATAAAGGAATTAGAAGAGTTAAAGTCACAAAATTCGTTCATGTCGGACGATACTTAGTAGCGAAATATCACAAGATTTAGTCGTATGGTCAACAAATCAACTTCAGTGGAAAATATAATTTTTTTTGGGATATTTATATTAATTGAGCGGTGTAAAAATTTTCAACATTTCCAAAAAAAAAGTCCTACTAGTTGGGCCTGTCTGGCATTTTTATTTAATTTAATTGAATAACTAAAGACTATCTATCTCCTTAGGTAGAGTTATGTGACCTTGTATTTGTATTATATTGGTTTTATGTTTTAGATTTAGATAAATTAATATAATATAGACCATAGTTTTCTATTGTGTATATTTTCATTTGTTATTTTTGTAATTTATAACTTAATTCGTATAATTATTAAGTAATATTTTTATAATTTGATGATTGATTGATGATACATTTTGTCACTGTAATTTCCTTTCCTTTTTAAATGTTAAATATATTTTTTTTCCTTTTCGATTGGTGTTATTTAATGTTTTTTTTATTATTTTTATTTATTTATCGTATCCGGCCCGTATTGTAAGTTTTGTAACGTGTGAGAACGTCGTTAATATGCGATGAGATGTTGATATGAGAAATGTAATATATTCCAAATGAAAATATACACTCGCGCCGACAACTGGATGGTCTAAGAGATGGTCGAGATTTAGTCGACTCATTTTATTACAGTCGAGGTTTTTGTTTTTTATTTTTTTCATAGCGTCACGGGTTTTTAAAAAGCTTTCCATATAGTGTCGCGTCAGTTTGAAGACCTCCGACATTTCTCAGAGATATAAAAATGGTTTAGGAGTGCAAACTAATTTTTCTGACATTTCTTATTTGCATAGATATACACCTTGCGACACTCTTCTTAATAGGACCCCACGTCAGTTTTAAGACGTTGGAGTTTGTCTAAGATACAAAAATAGTTTATGAGCACAAACTGTATTTTTCTGACATTTCTTCTTATTGACGTAGATCTACAACTTCAAACTCACTCAAGTCGGTTTGAAAATGACTGGCGTTTGTCGGAGATATAAAAAAGCTTTATGAGCGCAAACTAATTTTTCTATTCTTCTTTTTGACTTAGATGTACAGCTTAAGGCACCTCTTTAATAGGACCACGTCAGTTTAAAGACGTTTGACATTTGTCGGAGATATAAAAGGTAATTTTTCTGACATTTATTTTTATTGACAGATAATAGACCCCAAGTCAGTTGGAAGATGTCAGAATTTTGTCATACATATAAAAATGGTTATTAGCGTAAGCTGTCATTTTTCTGACGTTCTTATTTTTACACAGCTTCAGACAAACCTTTAATAGGCCCTACGTCAGTTAAAAGACTTTGATCCGAGTTATAAAAATGGTTTACGAACGCAAACTGATTTTTCTGACATTTCTTATTGACATAAATACATCTTCAGACACACCTTTAATAGGCACCTAAGTTAATTTGAAGACGTCTGGTGTATGTCGGATATATAAAAATGGTTTATGAGCGCAAACTGTCATTTTCTGACATTTCTTATTGACATGATATACAGCTTCAGACACCACAATATGCCCCTACGATAGTTTGAAGACGTCTGGTGACTGTCGGGGATATAAAAACGGTTTATGAGCGCAAACTGTCATTTTCTGACATTTATTAGACATAGATATACAGCTTCAGACACAACAATATACCCCTACAATAGTTTGAAGACGTCTAAGGTTTAAAAATGTTTTATGAACGCAAACTGTAATTTTTCTGACATTTCTTCTTATAGACTTAGATATACAGCTTCATCCACACATTTAATAGGACCCCACGTTAGTTTGAAGATGTCTGGCATTTTAAATTATAGTTTTTCGGACATGGTTTCAAAAATGAATGAAAGACTTCAGAAAAAGCTGTATTTATAACATCTTGTCGTTATGGCTCCAACCGTGTAAAATTAATTTATGAATACAGCTTCAGACACACTTTTAATAGAGCCCCACATCAGCCTGAAGACATTTGGAGCTTCGCCAAAGATGTAAAATATAAATAGTAATTCTTCTGACATTTTCTGTTATTTACAACTTCACGTCGGTTTGACAACCTCTGGCTATAAAATGGTTTAACATTGATTTTACGTTTTACCTTCTTGTACCTAGTACGGAAAATTTTGGAATCATTATTTTTTTCGTCTTCGAGTTTTTGTCCATTTTCGTTATGATGTCTGTCTGTGCCTACAAACTCAAAAACGGATGAAGAAAAAAAAAAAAAAACACTAAATTTTAAACTTTTGCTTTAATCCATACTATGGTGAGATGATTAGATTTTAAGCATAGTCAGAGTATTTGGGGGTACTTTATATGGGGGGTTTTTTTACTTAAGGATATATTTATGATAAGGGAAAAAAATATTTTGATTAATAATCAAGCTCACATGTATTGATATGAAAAACGATGGATAATCCGTTTATAATCATAAATTATCATTTTTCTGACATTTCCTTTTGTCTTAAATAAATTTGACTGCTTACATAAAGCAATTTTCAGAACTAAAGTTTGATAAGAGGACCTATAATAATACTCCCATGAGGTACAAAATTGATTTAGATTACAGTTGGAAGTGAAAGACAGATATATACATGACAAAACGTCAGAAACGTGTCTGAAAGAAGACTGCTAAACGTGAACTTAGAATTGGCTAATTAATTGCAGAATTAGATAGTTTGGTGTAACAGCAATCATATAGTAACAGTTTTTCAAATTTATAGCAGCAATAATTTTAATTTTATCAAAATTTTACGTCTGTATATAATCGATGGGGGTTAAATCCAGAGAATGCGATGTACCAATTCGACAGTGGGACTTAAAGAAAGCAAGTTCAAAAGTTGCGACACTAAAAATTAAAAAAAAAACCCAAGTGTTTACTGTCTCTTAAGATCAGCAAGTTGTCCGCGATTCTCCAAATAACTAGACGTGTCTACAAAATAATCTTGTGATATAAACAATGTTGAGTATGGAACACTGTTTTATTTTTTATTTCGTAAGTCTGATTTATATATTTTCATGCATTTAGACTGGATTGGTGTTGTTGAATGACTTACTGTGTCTTTGGGATTTCCGATACAATTTTTTACTTATATTTAAAAAAAAACGCGTTATTCCTAGTTTCCGTGCTTGTTTCTTTATATTTTTTTTATGACACTTAGCATGCCTATTTATTGGATCATGCAGAATGGAACTAATTCAGAAACGTTTGGCAAAGCGTATATTTTTGGTGTTTCTTCACGACAAAACTTTTATCTTAAAGTTTAGAAGTACCAACCTAGCAAAAAACCGTATGTAGATTAATTATGCTTTGTTTTTATTAGGTTTGTTCCTATATGTGATAGAATAAGTGTACATTCTTAGTCATAAACTAATTATGCAATAAGTGTTCTTTTTTGTCCCTGTCATATTAATTTTAACACTTAACCTCACTTATTTACATTTTTGTTGTTCTGTTGGTACATTGTTAAATTTACATCTAAGATACAAAATTTCATGAATTTATTGACTTATCAAAAGCTATGTTTTATTAGATCAGTGCGCGACGCAAAATTCAGTCTGTTGAGCGCTGCGCACGTCAGCTGAAATCTGACAATGTTAATATTATGCAAATGGTTTGTTAGAGTCAGCACATTTAGGCAGACACCAGTGTACGTCGACCACTGAGATAGAATGACAATACTAAAAGTGTCCGCACCTTTGCATTACACTTTTACGTCATGTGTCAAACTCGAGCTAGTCAGTTTTGATAAACATAAATGGCATTTTTTAAACAGCTTCATTTAAATGATATAAATACATTGTAACTTTAACTCCATTAATCTTTAAATATAAAATTATTGACTTCAAATAAAGTAAAAGACTATATTGCCATTTTGATTACACTTTTCCAACACTCGATATGCGTCCATCTGTCATATCGCAAAATAGTGTTTATGTATTTTCTACTTCATTGATTACGTCGAAATCAATTCGAGTTTGATTTGGATGCACTCGTTCAGCTAAGCATACAGTGATTGATGAGTTTAGAATAATTTGTTGTTCTTTGCGACTTTGAATTCTCTCGATCGCCGTCGCAGAAAGAAGGATGTCTTCCCATCAGCTGGGTGCAGTGGACAATGTTTCATTTTGTTTGATTATGATGTAATTAAATGTGTTTTCCAGTTAACAACTTTATTTACACTATGAACTTTCTTCAGCTTACAATATTACATAGTAAAATGATACAAGTACTTAAATTTACTATTTATGAATAATTAGCAGGTTTTTTACATCTCAAAACATGTTTTTTAGTAATTAGCATCGAGTTCGCGACGGAAGATTTGTGTTATAATTAAAGTATTAAAATGTCTAAATATGTTGATATGCTAGCAAAATCTGCAATAAAAAAAGGAACTAACACAATTCATAACATTTATAGCCCAGATGTTGTTGCCTTGATAAAATCCAATAATATGAGAAAATGGAGGCATGATTGGTCACAATTCTGTTCCACTTATTCGAATCAGTACACTAAAATTCAAAGACATTCCAAACTCACCCTGGTTTAAAAATCATAATTCCAAGACACTACATTACATCTTTAATTAGAACAGAAGTAAAAGTTGGAAATGCTTTTGCCAGTTCTCCCACTTTATACACATAAATTGACAGGTTGGCAGCGGATCTCACCGAAGTGGACGCGATACATTGGCGTACAAAATTATTTTATAGATGTTAATAACAATTTCGAGTAAATAGTTTAATAAATTGTGCATAGCTGTTTAAATTTTGTAAAATTATAATTTGAATATTATAATACATGTTTAATAATTATTTATAATCCATAAATACATGCGATTGTCCGGTTCCGCCGATAACAATTTAAAATTACTTATTCTATGAAACGACACTGGCAGGTAAACATTACTGTGAAATTCTCGGAGCCGCCCGACGTGGTTTGACGTTTACCCCCTCTCTACCTACCAAAAGACTTCAACTTTTACTTTCTCTATAGAACCAGATTTGGTCATGCCAGTTATCCCAAACACTTGATTTGTCTATGATTGGAATCTTAATCTTGCTTCCTCTGTATTTTACCTATTTGTTTACCCTCTTACCGAGGCCTAATTTTGTTTGTCCATTAAAAAAAAACGTCCTGATGGGTCCCTGGACGAGAAGCATATATTGTTTATTGTTTTTCTTCTTCTTACACCTTTTGCTGTTAGGAAATATTCTTGGGTAGTTATAATTATGGATGAATCTGTATCTGGCTGAATGGCAATGTGCCTATGCCAAAAAAAAATGTCTCAATTTT